GGCCCGAGGGGGGGGCTGGGAATCCCACCCACCAGCCCTTGGACGCTGCAGCACGAGCTCGGCCGCGGCATCTCAGGCTGGTAGCAAAGCCCCGCTGCTCTCCCAGCACCACCCCTATTGCAAGGCCTGGGTCACTCGGCAACGCCTGGAGCAAAGCAGGTGGCTGGGGGGACGTTCCCGTTGCCAGCACCAGGCCTGGCGTGACGTTGCACATTCCCATAGTGCTCAGCGTGAGGGTGGTGCACGGCCCTGCGGGATGCATGCCCACAAGCTTTGCTCTTTGTTGACAAGGGAGCTGCAGATGTGGCCACGAGCTGCCCACAGCAGATATCAGAACAGGCGGTTTGAGGGGTTTCCAGTTCCGGCAACACCTGCCTGTCGACAGCACGTTCCTGGCCAAGCCTGGCTGGGGGAGCGGGGAGCGCTGGCTCTTCGGCACCGCGGGAGGAAGCCAGGCCGGGCGGGGGAGAGGGTGCTAGGGAAATGCAGAGGGCGTGGATCTGGGGTTAATCTCGATTTTCGGGTTCTCATTCCATTCCTGAGCTGCTGAGAACAAAGCAGAGGCCTGACAATACCGCAGGATGGGAGGGTTCACATGCCACAGCCTGACGGTGAGAACTTGTCTGTTTAAGAGCCGGTTAGTGTGGAAGGTAACGCTGAGATACTGCAATGAGTGGCTGGCACTCGCTGTGTATTAGCTGCCTCTCGGGAAACCCAGCAACTGCTTAAGAAAGGATCGGTATGAATCTGTAGCCACTAGGTGATGAAAAGCTTTTGTTTAGAGCTGTCAAACCCCAACCCTGAGCATTAGTTCCGAATGTGTATTTAACATTGCGTAATGAAACCTGCCATGATGCAGATGTTATGGATTTGCCAGGACCCCGGCCTGGCTGCACAGGCTTAGTATAGGGATGTAAAATCCTGTTAAAATCAGCCCTCCCCAGTGCAATGCAGGCAAGGGGTTGCTTCGGCCGGGCGCTGGTTAACCGGTTACCCCTTCACATCCCTAGTTCAGTGCCACCAGGTGTGTGCTGCAGCAGGAGTCTCAGCAGGGAGCAGAGGTCCCAGCCCTGGGGCCCAGGTGGGTGCCGACGAGATGAGCAATCGCAGTCGCAGTCGCACTCGCGGGGTTTCCATGCACAAAGCCGACCCTGCTCTGAGCAGTGATTTCACTGACCTACAGAATGGGCTTTAATTACGTCCCCTTGAAATTGCCAAACCACCGCCCACTCCCAAGAAAGCAACCAGACCTATGGCCATTGTCTGGAGCCCTGACGCTGCCCCGCGTCCCCTGGCGGCCGGGGGAGAGAAAGCCCTGCAGCGTGGTGGGGGAATGGGCCCAATTGTGGAAGTGAGTCTAGGAAAGAGGAAAAAGGCAAGCCAGGACGCTGATTTTCTGCTGCCTTCCAGTGGAGCAACCCCGCCCCCTGCTGGCCAGTTCGGTAACTCGCAGGCATGTCCGGGAGAACAGTTCTACAGCCCACCCGCTTCCCAGGCTGGCCTCTGGCACAGCCAGTGAATGCGACAACACTGCTGTCAGCCCCACGCTCTCGGCCTGCCAAAGGAGCGTAGCCAGCTGCAGAGCCTGGCATCCCAGACACCCTGCAGGGCGACCCAGCCAGGAAAGGGATTCAGCTGATTGGAAGTTTCAGCACGGGCCGGGCCGGGGTCCCCAACTTCTGTCTGTGGGCCCCATCTGCCCGCTGCAGCCTTTTCCCTTCATGCATCCAGGCAGGGACAGACGGAG